TCTATCATCTATCTACCTATCTGTCTGTCTATCATCTATCTACCTATCTGTCTGTCTATCTATATATCTGCCTATCTCTCTGCCTGTCTGTCTGTCTGTCTCTCTCTCTCTTCTATCTATCTATCTATCTATCTATCTCTCTCTATATCTGTCTGTCTGTCTGTCTCTATCTCTCTCTATCTATCTATCTATCTATCTATCTATCTATCTATCTATAGTATTTGAGTGCGGTTCTGACCTCCAGCCACTCGGTGGCACCAACATTCCCAAAATCTCCTCCATCCCAGCTGACGAAAAGCAAACTGCGTCTGGGGTAAAAGCCTAGAATTTAAACAGAAGACAGCAGCATCAGTTCATCAATATCGATATCTGAATAAGCTATTTTTTAAAATAGGCAATAGGCCCTCATTAAAGCCATGCTATTTTTTCCCAAATTCTATGCTTTCAAGTTTTTAATAATTTCTGGATTCTGTGTTTGGTGACTTCATACAAATGTATCAAAAATGGTGTCTAATGAAATTAATTTATAAAACTTACCATAATCAATCTTAAAAATTAACATATAACAATTTAATTAATATAACAATTAATTCATGCTATATATATATATATTAGGGATGCACTGATAGGATTTTTTTTGGCTGATACCGATTTTAACAAACAGTACGTACGTAGGCTGTACGTTTTATTATTTATTACATTCAGAAATAATGTAGCCTGTAGGCTAAAATAATGGTTAATAAAAGCAAAATTACAAACACAATTAGGCTATTTTAGTTCCCTTCTCTCCACAACAAATCCTCTAAAGTTGTATTTAGGCTAAATATAAGCATCAAGCCAAAACTAATTAATTTAAAAACTAAACTGAAGCCTACCTCTCTCATTCTGCACGAATACAAATGTTTCCATATTCGCCAAGTATCTGGATGCTAACCTATTATTATAGGTTAGCATTATAGGTTAATATAATTTATTATTTATTACATATAGGCTATATCAACAGTGAGGCCCTGGTCACACTGAACGGCACAGACTGTACTACAGTTCTGTCATTTTCCTTCTCCAGTAAATGTATCTTGATTTAAAGAAGGAAAACAAGACAAAGAAAAACATCAAAAAAATTTATATGTGTGTGTATATATCTATATATATATATATATATATATGGGTTGTTGACAGCAGGTTGTTGAAGATAAAAATGAATATAATTAATATTGTCGTTATTTAAAATGCAGTAAATGGTTAAACATTTCTTTGTCCTACATGGACCTGTTGTTATAAAAGCTGCAGTGTTATTAGATTTTTATATATTTTTTTAATTTTGAGCCAAATCTCAAAATTGTCCTATGGTGTGACTGTCTCATGCATGGTTCAATAAATTACAACTTTTATAAATTAAAAAGAAAATGTTAATAAATACCTTCGGCATAATTGTACAAGTGTCTATTTTAGTAAATGGCAATAATTTTTTTCATCCATATATTTCTGAAAAAATTATTTTGTTTTGTTTAAAAAACATGTTGATATTGTTTGTATCAAAATTAATCTTTCTTTCTCCTTTGACATGTTCAAAATTGAATAGAAATACTTTAATAACTACCATTTCTGCTCTTTTGTGTGACGTAATGTCCTATGGTGTGACACACATAATAGAACCACAGATTTGTTTTTATAACAAAATATCTTAAATAAAACAGTAGGGGAGATATAAGTATCACTCAACTTAAAATGGTATAATTTTCAGCAATTTTGAACGGATGACAGCAAAGTTTGTCTTGAAATTGTCCAACAAGTCGAGGGAAAAAAATTATGTTAATTACAATTTCATATTAAATAAATAACACTATATGAAAATAAGTGTCTCACAATGAAGATAATTCTCTCTCATGCTATTTATGTATTATTAAGAGTTTTTTTTCTTAATTTTTGCAATGTCACACCATAGGACAAATGTATGGTACAGTTCAGTAAAAATTTTTAAAAAAATAAAAAATAATGAAAGAATTGACGAAGTTAGTGACCCTTTATATTTTCTCAAAGATCAGACTTTACACTACATAAACATATGCATTTCTTCTTCAAAAATGGTCTTTTACAAAATAAGCATTTTTTACTGCCTATTTGCAACTACCCATATATATATATATATATATATAATAAAACCAGGAAAAAGTTATTTAATTTTTGAAGTCACATCCTCACGTGTAAAAGTAACATTAATAAAACAGATAGTTCTGGTCCTTGATTCTGATTGGCTGAGCCACGTTCGAAGCTGTTGTAAATTACTACAAAGTAACATACACCTTTGTTTACATTTGTGTGTTGCTCGGCAACCACTTTGTTGCAACCACAACTGATTCTGAGGAGCTACATTGTTTGGTGGAAGAATACTGTTTTTATTAATATCATTACACTTTATTTGCTCTGTTTTATTTTGTGAAACCTTACTACGTATATGGAATAACCGTTTTATAAAAGCAATAAGCCCCGTGAAGCCGTGGTTTACAGTGAATTTATAACAGCTAAGGGGCGTTGTTACGACGCGAAGCGGAGGGTCTAAAACCCCTTAGCTG